TCTCTCTCTCTCTCTCTCTCTCTCTCTCTCTCTCTCTCTCTCTCTCTCTCTCTCTCTCTCTCTCTCTCTCTCTCTCTCTCTCACACGCGCGCGCGCGTGGATGCTAGGGGTGTTGATGCAAGCAGGCACCACTAGCATTCTCGGGGAAGGCTCCATCTATTGGTGGGAAGCAGCAGCTGCTGGAATCATAATGAAGGAGAGGACAGTGCAGGGTCGAAAAAGCCTTGCCCTTCCTCACCTTGTCGCAATTCCACCCCTGTCCCTCCCCTCCCTCTCATTTTCTCCCCAATTACCCCCAATTATTTCTGGACTACATCCCTGCAGTAGAGAGCGCCCCTCCTGCCTCACCTACGGGCCTAGCTCAGTTGGTACACCACCCATGAACTGTTGAGATGCATACCTGAGCTCGGATCCCGATCGAGTTAAATGAATGAATGAAATTCTGAATTATGTGGGGTCGACCAGTTCAACAATGATATCGCCTGTTCGAATCCGTGCATGCGCGGAGGAGGTCCTGTGGCTGATAAACTCAAGACTGTCCCCCTTGCTGTTTTTTTTTTTGTTTTTTTTTGTCTTTTTCTGGCAAAAAAAATCCCTGTTGCCTGCCCTCTCTGCCGCACTTTGTTGCAGGTGCTTGGACTAGTAGACTGATTCAGAAGTAGAGACTCCATTCGCTCAAGCGTAATCCCCTGCTGAATGTCAAATTATCATAGAAGGAGCCTCTGTCATCATGAAATAAGAAGAAGCCGCCATCTCTTGTCTGCTTTCAGTGTCTCCACAGCTCCGAATCCCTTCCAAACACTTCCATGCATACACTGCCCAGTGCCTACGATATATTCCATTCCTAGACGATAATTCATTCCGCCTGATCTTGCCCCAACATCTCTTTCCTGTCCACAACCTGCTGCTTTTCTTCACTCCACCTGCATCCCTTCTCCGACTATGTTTCCCAAAGCCCGGACCACTCGGTCGTCTAACCTCCTACTCCCAGTCCTACAGTAGAACTTGCCATGACTTACTCTCCATTCCATCGCCCTTCCAGTCGCTCTTTCTCTGCTTCGGCTCCCGCTGCTGGTCACATTTGCCCGTCCCGACTTCTTCTTCTTTCCCTGCCGAGAGTCCGAGACGGTATTCCTTTTGGATGTCAGCAGGCCCCCTTGGTGGTGGGGTCATGCCCCTGCTGAAGGTCATAGCATCACAGATTACTGGAACCGGGGTCCAGCATCGCCAAGAAGGTACATCGAGAAAAAAAAGGGAAAAAAAAAACAAAGAAGGTACACCGAGAGGTAAAATTTACAAGCTATACTGCAGAAACAGTCTGGTGAGCGTTAACATTACTTGCCCCCACCACGAGAGAATCAACCACTTTTGTAACTGTCGCTCAGCTTCTTGCATCACACGGAGCAGCAGGGTCCTAAAACAGAGCAAACAGCGGGTCTCGTGTGGGGTCTCGTGTAACGCTTCCCACGCGAGACCCGCTTCCCGGTTGGCCCCAGAGGTTTTTGGTTTTGCGCACGTGCGTTTCTTCCGAAGCAGCACGGAGTCTCCTTCTTCAATCAAGACCACATTTCCACCCTCAATCTACGGTGACCTTCCCTTTCTTCCGTTGACCTCACCCACACCAGTGCCAAACTTTCTCTCTAATAGTCTCTATAGCACAAGCGCCAACAGAATGAAGTCTTAGAAGGTGAATCCCCCGCTCTCCTCCTTCTGGACTCTTGTTTTTCAGGTAGCTATAGCTGCCAGCCGACACGTAAGCTTCCGCGTTCGCCTTGCCAGCCCTTCTCTAATGGTTACACCCACCTACAAATCTCCACCATTGACACTCCTCTGTATGGCGTCAGACTTGTACCAGTCCCCGCTATCACCCTATAAGTCGGCGATGAAGAAAACCACTGTGCTTCTCTGTAGCAGCTATGGATGAACACTCCAGGTGTTATGCACCGTCTAGGTAAGGCTTCCTCCTCCCCCAAGGCCTTCGACTCTACCGCATATCTCTCCCCTTCTCTCACTCTCATCTAT